TGCAAAGTCACTTTGCATGTTTAACCTTGCTCCCCACCACCCAGCACCTGAACAGTCCACTGTAATGAGTTTGTCTCGAGTAGACAGTCCACTCTAATTTAGTTGGTGTAGGATTGTTTAAAATGCTACCAGTGGGATCCTTTACTATACGTCTGTCTCCTGAACCACATTTTTACTCTCCTTCACATGGCCACATCATGTTGGCACACTGCCTTGTAATCCAGGAAATCCCTCACTTTTCATGTGCCTGAGTGATTTCTTAACATCTACACTACTAGGGGGTGCTGGCTTTGGTATGATGCTTTCCAAAGTCCCATAGTGACCATCAGCAGCTTCCCCAAGCTGCAGTGCAGTCCACTGCCTTGGTTTCCCAGTGGGACTCACCTGATTTTGAATTGCACTTTTCATTCACACCTATTGGCCCAATTATCTGGGTTCCATTAAAAAGGTTGCAGCCTGGCTGGGGCATACAGCCCTGCACTCTCAGATGGGTGAAGATGCCCCCTGAGAAAAGGACGGGGGACAGTCAGAAATGTTGACCTAGAGGATCACCCAGTTCTCAGCTTGAAGCTCATCTCTAGGAGGCCAGACCCCACTGTCCTCTGAGTCCCATGCCCTCTCTCAGCTTAACTTGACTCCACAGAGACTCACGTCTGTGTTGCCAGAGCTCCCCGTTAGTCCGCATAGGACCCGAATGTCCAGGCTTACCTCCTCTGAGCCTGACCACTCCATTGTAGCAGTGAGTGTACCCTGCTGGGCAGGCATGCTGTGGGGCGTTTTCTGGACAGTCATCGTTAGAGAAGCAGATGGGGCACCGCAGGCTCCCTGGGACAGGAGAATGGACAGACAGCGAGGGGAGTGGAACAGGCTCTGATTAGGATCACATGCCTCCCCCCGATGCCTGTGCTGGTCCAAATCACCAGTGTACTAAGGCCCGCTGCCCACCCTCACACATGCCCTCCTGGGGCTCGCTCTTGCAGGTCCAGCTGCAGGGAATTCGGCATGTGTGACTGGTGAGAGAGAAGGAGCCACAGGGAGTGAGAACTCCTGAGAGACTCCTGGGGC